GTTCGTCTTCGGAACACAATTTAAGATATTTTGGATGAAAACCGGGAGGCTTGTGACTGTCCCATTGACTGCCAAGTAACTTACACTGTCAAGGTCCAGAAAAGTATGAAAGGCATCGTCAGTATAGTCCATCTGCCATCAGTGGTTCAACTGTAACATTATGAAGCGACGAGAATACTTTTTGTACGCGAAGAAAACAAATATAACGACTTTATTCAACAATTCGTCTCCTCTGTGTCTCTCCGCATCACCGTAGCACCATTTTGGAGAATATCCGCTGAACGCAAGCAGCGTACGCTCTTCTGTGTTAGCCGCGCTGCACAGATGCGCTGTTTTCGTTCAAATCAAAGCGTAAATACATGTAGAAAATTTATCCTTGTGTTGCAGCTGACACAGAAGAGCGTACGCTGCTTGCGTTCAGTGGATACTCTCCAAAATGGCGCTACGGTGATGCGGAGAGACACAGAGGAGACGAATTGTTAAATAAAGTCGTTATTTTTGATTCCTTTGCGTACAAAAGTGTTCTCGTCGCTTCATAACGTTACGGTTGCACCACTGATGGCAGATGGACTATTCTGATGATGCCTTTCATACTTTTCTGGACCTTGACAGTGTAAGTTACTTGGCAGTCAATGGGACAGTCACAAGCCTCCCGGTTTTCATCCAAAATATCTTAAATTGTGTTCCGAAGACGAACAAAGCATTTACGGGTTTGGAACGACATGGGGTTAAGTGATTAATGACAACATTTTCATTTTGGGGTGGAGTAACCCTTTAAGCTGAACAAGTTTTACAGGTATTTATTAAGCAGCAATGGAATAATGACTCATATTAGCGAGTGCATCTCTTCTTCATGGACTGCAGCAGATTTGTTCACTCTTCCAACAAGGCACTTGCAAGTTCTCAAACATATCTGAGGGGACACAACATGTGGTGTGCCACAGCAAGGACAATCAGTGGCCCTTTCTGTTCTCCTCTCTTACAATATGGACATTGCAGGACTATGTTATGTTCACACAGGAGAGCAGGAACCCTTGACTTCTTTCGTCTGGTGTTCACAGAATCAATAGAAACGTCTCTTTACTGTCCTAAGTTATTAAAACCTTAATTTCCTGCCACCTGTAAACTGTGAGTGTCTTAAAGTCTGTTCTACAGGTGCAATAATTGTTTGTGGTTCATCGAACAAGCATGAAAATGATTGTTTATACACTTTCCAATAAAGGTCTGTTAAGCGTATTTGGATTTTACAAAATTATATTGAGAAAACAATATCCTGAAAAAGGGATGTTTCTTTTTGCTGAGTTTATATACTTTATATTATGTGTGTGTTTATAGTTTTTTAAATGAATATGAGGGCATGATAACTACATTAACTTTTAATTCTAATACCATTTGAAACATAGTTAAATGCAATAAACATTGTTCTCCCAGGATGAAGAAAGGAGAGCTTTTTGATTACCTAACCGAGAAGGTTACGCTCAGTGAAAAAGAGACAAGGTTAGTATAATGATTTCATGAAACCTGTCAAGAACATGTTTTATATTAAAAAAAGGCATGATAAAAAAAAGCGTTTTTTCTGTTAAAAGTTGTCTTATTTGAATTATATACAAGTCGCTCTCATCATTTTTGTCATCGCACACACAAGTGCACCGTTTTGAGAAATCGAGATAAATAAAAACCCTTTCTGAACCCCTTTGGACCTGAACTCCAGTTGTCAGATTATGATATGATGTGATTATGATAACTTGTTGCAATGAATAAAACAGATATGATCACCCCAGAGAAGAAAGTACATGTATTGTATTTTGTGTTTGATTTATCAGAACTTCTGTGCTTTTCCTGGGCGAGTCGTAATGAACTCCTGCACTAAATAATGTCTCATCAACACGGAGTAATGCCTTGTTTTTTGTCTCGATTTTAGGATGAAATACGACCATAGCTCAATGTACAACAGTGCATTTTGTAAATGTATTTGCAGCAGATTGTTTTTATTTTGCAGGAAGATTATGCGGTCGCTGTTAGAGGTGGTTCAGTTCCTTCACGCTCAAAACATTGTGCACAGAGATCTAAAGCCAGAAAACATCCTTCTGGATGACAATATGAACATCAAACTCACTGATTTTGGCTTTGCTGTGCAGATTGCACCAGGACAAAAACTTAATGGTAAGTTTGAAATGTTTTTTCTTAACGTGTGTGTCGTGATATTTTGTTCAGTATTTATTTTTTGATAACATTTTAAAAATAGTGTATTTTTTTGTTGTGCATGTGTGTGTGATTGTTAAAGGGGTCATATGATGTTGTCGTGTCCTCATTTGGAAGACCAAACAAAGTTTTGCTTTCACTACGAAACAGCGTCACACACGCCTTGAGTTAGCAGAGGCCAGAGGCCTAGAGTAAGCGGCGGCCTAGAGTATGCGGAGGCCGGCTTGAGAACGGCGCGGCCGGTGGATTCGACAAAGGAGCGTCCGGTTTGCAACTTTACAGATCTTCTTTATGCACCAAGAGCTTGTAACACTCAAAAAATTGAAATCGCATCATATGACCCCTTTAAATAGTCACAATATTGCCATATCAATCGCAGGCCCCTGAATCGAATCAAATATTAATCGTTTATAGTGTCATGTTTTGCAAATGTTGTATCGCTGACTAAGAGAATTGAGGTCAGATGGGATCATGATGAAACATCCGATTTGCATTTTCTGACCAGTAGTTGTCAGGTTTGTGGATCCGGGTTTCAAGCTATCCTTATATGAGATGTTAATATGTTACATGGAACTGGAGGAGCTATTTGCTATTTGGTGTGCCCTCTGACCTTTAACCAGGAACAGAGTAGCTGCCACTGTTCCAAGAACAACCAATCAATTACATAAATGTATGTTTCATACAAACTGATAAGGGAGATTTTAATACAATTCAATAATTGTATTAAATTATTTATGGGTGAATTCAATAAAGCCAATACTGTAAAAAAAAAAAAAAAAAATCTTATTAAGAATTATTATAATATTATATATATATGTATAAAATTCTAATATAATCTTATATTTTTGATGAATAATTTATATATAATAAATCATTATACAATATGTTTCAGCCTTTGTTTTGGCCGCGGAAGCATGGTAGCGGGCTTTGTTTTCAACGCTTATTCTTTCTTCTCATTTATTCAGGTAAATAACTGACCAACAAAAAACATATTAAAATTAAGATACAAATTATACCAAATGAAACTCGTTCGAAAAAAGGGATTCTACAAACAAAAACGTATGAAGGGGTCAAAAAATTATGTCTGACCCACTTCCTTTCTTCCGGCGTACTGCCGTCCAGTTTATCACGCCCTTATGACGTTTACAATTTTCTTAATTAGCAAATTGAACTAAACAAAACACAAACAAATAATATTTAAACATAAATAATATAAAATAAAAATACTTTCTTATACAATATATGTGACCCTGGAGCACAGAAGCAGTGTTAAGTCGCTGGGGTATATTTGTAGCAATAGCCAACAATACATTGTATGGGTCAAAATTATAGATTTTTCTTTTATGCCAAAAATCATTAGGATATTAAGTAAAGATCATGTTCCATGAAGATATTTTGTAAATTTCATACTGTAAATATATTAAAACTTAATTTTTGATTATTAATATGCATTGCTAAGAACTTAATTTGGACAAACTTTAAAGGTGATTTTCTTAATATTTTGAATTTTTTGCACCCTCAGATTCCAGATTTTCAAATAGTTGTATCTCGACCAAAAATCCTATCCTAACAAACCATACATCAATGGAAAGCTTATTTATTCAGCTTTCAGATGATGTATAAATCTTAATTTTGAAAAATTGACACTTATGACTGGTTTTGTGTTCCAGGGTCACATACTATGTATGTTTTAATGTAACCGATATTCTAATATAATCCTATAAAATATATAAAAATGTATAATATAACCTTATCATATTTATTATATTAAATTATAAGATATAATAATATAAGATTTTTTATTTAAATAATGTTTCTCTCCTTTTATACATCATATATGCTACTATTTTTACTACCTACATTTATGCTGACAATGTAATGTGCCTGGACAGAATGTTTTTCATTAATGCAATAAAAAGATTGATTGGTTGATTGACTGTACATGGACATGAGACTTAACCAAAAAAAAAGTAATTTGTCATGCTTATGTACATAGTACATGTTATGATTCCAAAATACATCAAATGTGCATGCATCACATAACTATGTGTTTCATTAGAGCTTCCTTTGATTTTGTGTCGTCACACATAGAGGTATGTGGAACGCCAGGCTATCTAGCCCCAGAGATTATCGAGTGCTCTATGGATCCTCACCACCAAGGTTACGGGACCGCTGTTGATCTGTGAGTACACCCTCATATATTAGAAAAAGCTCGGTCTTGACGACCAACCAATTTAAATTCTACTTTTAAGTAGGGCTGAATGGAGAAATGGCACCGTTTCTTGTGTTTTTCAGCTGGAGCGCAGGGGTGATCATGTACACCCTTCTTGCAGGTTCTCCTCCTTTCTGGCACAGGAAGCAGATGCTAATGCTGCGCATGATCCTGTCGGGAAGCTACCAGTTCACCTCTCCGGAGTGGGACGACCGTTCAGACACTGTCAAAGACCTGGTGCGTCTGAAGCAGATCAGGGAATATCAAATGAGTGGAATAGACTTGTTTAGCTTTACCAGCCAATGAATACAAGCCTACAATAGATCCGCTAACCTGCACTCTGTACTGCGAACTTTCTCAGATCTCCACGTTGTTGGTGGTGAATCCTGAGGCACGTTACACTGCCAGAGATGCCTTAAACCACCCTTTCTTCCAGCAGTATGTGGTCGCGGAGGTGCGACATTTCAGCCCGTACAGGAAGTTCAAGGTGGGGTCTATATAGTTGAGAATAATATGTAGTTATTGAATTACTTAGCAATAAACAAACAAGAGGAAATCTGCATTTTTGAATGAATCGGCTGAGCGAATGATTCAATGATCCATTGATAAAGCCAGTTACTTGGATTGTTCTGAATAGCCGATTTGAATGAATTGGTTGAATGAATGACTCAATGTCTCAACCTAATCGAAGTTGTAGTTTTTTTCTGCAACAGTAGATGTTGCTGATGCGGACTTCATTTGGTTGGTAACAGCCTATAGTGTCTATACGGTTGATTTGAATTGTAATGATTTATCACATTTAAGAATTTGACAGAAAAGATGACAAATACACACAAAATGCCCCAATAGAAATCCATGTAGGTTTATTGCAAACACTTGTGTTTTTCAGGTAATCTGCATGACAGTTTTGGCAACAATGCGCATTTACTGCAATTATCGACGTGCCAAGCCAGTTACCAAAGACGTGATCAAGAGCGACCCCTATGCAGTAAAGCCTATTCGCAAGCTCATCGATGCCTGTGCATTCAAGATTTATGGACACTGGGTAAAGAAGGGCCAGACACAGAACAGAGCTGCCCTGTTTGAGAATAGTCCAAAAGCTATCTTGCTTTCTCTAGCAGCGGAAACAGATGATTCATCTCTCAGAATGATGTAATATAATATATGTGAAAACTGTACAGGATAGTATGTTCAAGAAATGGTTATGATCAATGCTGCATGCCATCGTGAGATGTTTCAATATGAGAGTAAATCGACACTTTCACTTCAGTTGCATAAATGGCTTCCAACCTTTAACTGCACTGAACCTGGACACCTGAAGTTCTCATGATAATTCAGGTCATGTTTATTTATTCTAATATATGATGAATTATTTGAAATATTAAAACAAACAAACAAAAATATCATATGAAATAAAATGTGTATACAAACTGATTTTATGATGTTGTGTATAATGTGGGGAGCTATAATACATCCAGATCTGTCAAATACACATTTCTTTATTGATGGCCACTCAAATATTATAATATAATAAGAACAATTCCAATTGGGCCCAATTGAGTCATCAGATCAAAACATGACTCGTTAGTTGGATTTCTGAATCAACTGATTCATTAAAAATAACCAACCAATTTAAAACAAGGAGACCAGATTTCCTAAATGGAAACCAGGGACATTTTCTACTATGAGTTAAAAAAAAATAGCAATACATATTTTTGTAATTATTGTGAGTTCTATAATTAATAATAATGATGTTTCCAGGTCAAACTGATCCTAAATGGTTTTAATACAATTAAAAAAATCACACTATAAAATAGTAAACGGTAACCATTTCAAATAGCAAACAGATCAAAACAGTAGCATACTGTAATGAAATTAGTACTTATAAGAACACATTACAAAAAAGACCACCCACTTCACTCTGATCCTGATATAAATTGTATACAATCTTTTTTGAGAATGAAACATTTTCTTATGAACTCGTATGATTTCTTTTGATAAAATATGTCATGCAATATAATTTTATATGGGTATAACAGAAATAATAGCTAGGCTACAACACCACTGAGTGTTTGTAATAACTTCTGACTGATCCAGTGTGGGTCTCGGTCAAATGATGAGGCAGAAATATATAGTTAATAACATTTTAGAAGAATTTTATGGTGATATGCAACTTATGTGGGGTGTGAAAGAAATGTAACTAATTACTGTTTCCAAAAAGTACTATTTAATAATATTAGGAGTAACTAGTACTGAGTAAAATATAACATTTTTTTGAGTAACTAGCCCAACACTGGGCCTGAAACTATAGTGAAATGCTCCTTTTGTAAACGCTTTGCAAAATTGTGATCGAGAAGCACACTAATAATAGAACTAAAGTAGTATGAGCTGAGGGGCGACATGCACTTCTAGCAGAATACCATACATTATAACCAGTTGGTTCATTCTGATTAAATGGAATGTATGCAGACCAGTGATGCAAACCCTTTTAGCTGCAACAAGATTGGAAAGAACCGGATTCACAGAGCTAGCTCGAGTCCTGGCTCATTAATATATACCACGTTACGCTTGTGAAATGAATATTAATGAGGTGACGTCAGCACGTCACCTCATTAATATTCATAAGAAAAGCCTTTCCACGTGTTTTGCTGCTCTGTCGCTCTGGTTTTACGCTTCCGCTGCTCCATGTGTCTGTTTTCATACAGTCTATGGTCTTCATTTACAGTGAGATACAGCAATGGCTACTAAACGTCAAAATGGGGATCCTCTTGAGTCCGCTACAACAGCTAAGAAAACCAAAACAGACGAAAGCGAGTTCACTGGCACGGTCTTTAAATCCATGCTAAAGGATTCAACTAAAGCGCTAAAGGGTACGTGTATTTTATTTGAGCTGGTCAGTCGTCTGCTTACAGCTGAAAACCATGTGTTGCAGTTTTGATGTTTTATTTGATTTTCTCTAAATGCTAAATATCACGCTTCCAGTGTTCGCTCCCCCGGACTTTTATTTTGTTTTCACATTTTATGGCGCTCAGAGCTCGCTGTAGTTACAGTAAAAACGCAGAATTAATACAAAATGTTTACTTCTAACTTACTGTAAGAGAACAAATGTTAACGTTGTATCATAAACTTCTTTTATATATTATGTAGGGTTGGAGACCTTCGTAAGGTTCGCGAAGAAACTTCCACGCGCTGAAATCTATGATGCAGTCGAAGGCTACATAAAAATCTCAGTTGAATGTTCAGAAATTTTCGCTTTACTGGAGGAAGAAAATAATTCTGAGTCTGAAGTAAGTCATCTATCTGTCTGTCTGTCTGTCTGTCTATCTATATATCTATATATCTGTCTGTCTGTCTGTCTGTCTGTCTATCTATATATCTATATATCTGTCTGTCTGTCTGTCTGTCTGTCTATCTATATATCTATATATCTGTCTGTCTGTCTGTCTGTCTGTCTATCTATATAT